CCCCGGCCGCCACCGCCCGCCCGCCCAGACACAAACAAGCACTTTTTTCTTTCGCTGCCATTTTCGGCTATTTATTTGTTATCCCCAATCTCCTCATTTCTGGTATCCACTGCTGACCTTCACTGCAGGCTTCATCCATATGCAGGCTTCTGGGCGTGCACTGTTCCTCGGTAGACGGTAGCCCTCGGGCCGGCGCCTGCTTTTTAGCGGACCTGTACGATATGAGCCGTAGGCGATCAGCATAATCCCGTTTTTGGAGGTTGTGAGATTTATCTCCTTTGACTTAACGCTGACTCTGTTTGCTCAATATTTTGAGGAATTTTGAGCATTCGTAGAAAAAGTATTTCATTAATTTTTTCCCCAAGGTACGCTCGTCATTTTCTTCACTTCTTTGTGTTTGTTGCTTACGTTCAGAGGCTTAACTATGCCGCATATTGCGATTTGTTGTACAAGATTTTATCTGTCCCAGATGTCACCTCATTTCGTCGCAACTTCTTGAAAAGTCGATAACTCCCAGACGCTTTAGAAATCTCCGCTCAATTACAGGATCGCTGTATGTCTCACTGTTTTAGCGTAGTAGTTTTATCGGGAGCTCACTTATGCCATTTTTCAGGGTACACGATGCAGCCGACGCATTGGCAGTCCAGTCTGGGTCATTGTCGGCCCCGGCTGGGAGTCGCACTACCCGTGTTCGCGCTTGAAAAGAACACTGAGCCCGGCCCCGTGTTCCCTTCGTCGTTACGAGCAGTAACTGGGGCGTCGACAGTACACTGTAGCAGCAACGCCAGAGCGAATTATCATGTGTCAGCCCCAGCCTTGGCTGGTACCCATATTTCGTTCAGAACATCGCTCTTGGGTGCAGTTAAAAACCGCCTGCGTGGCATTGTCATGAAAACCGGCCTAGCTCAATACGCGGTGCCAAATGACGAGTTGAGCTCCGTAAAACCAGGCATGGTGGCATTGCTGGCTTCAGTTGCCCTAGCCCCCTGATCACGCCTGTAGCAGTGTTGGCTTCAGCTGCCCTAGCCCCCTGATCACACCTGTAGCAGTGTTGGCTTCAGTTGCCCTAGCCCCCTGATCACGTCCTGTGGCAGTGTTGGCTTCAGTTGCCTTAGCCCCCTGATCACGCCTTTGGCAGTGTTGGCTCTGGTTGCCCTAGCCCCCTGATCACGCCTGTGGCAGTGTTGGCTTCAGTTGCCCTAGCCCCCTGATCACGCCTGTGGCAGTGTTGGCTTTGGTTGCCCTGGCCCCCTGATCACGCCTGTAGCAGTGTTGGCTTCAGTTGCCCCAGCCCCCTGATCACGCCTGCATATCGTCTACGGATGCCCAGGGTTTGTAGAAATGATACGGATCTTCGGGCATCTTTATTGATTGTGTCTCTTTGCGATGATGAAAACTCGACGGCTCTTTGCTAAATGCGGGCCGACAAATGGCAGCGGCCTTGTGCTGGAGGACGACAACGCCCTAAGTACTCTCGCGTGCGGTCAAACACCGCCCGTGTGGCCAGACATGCGCATGGATCACAAGCGCAGGTCCAGGATCCCATATGGATTCATATCAATGGGATTGTGACACCCTGCGTTTGGCAGCCCAACATCCTGTCCGCTTAGCCTTGCGTGTGGTCGATGTTTTTTGGACTATCTAGGGCATGGCGCACATGATAGCATCACGCATGAATAGTTTAAGCCATAATTTTCGGTACGATGTAATGAGCAGTTATTCATAACCAGGAAGAGCATCCATAGGAATGTCCACCGCAAAGGCAGCAGTCGATCCTCCCTGCACCCAGGCTGTGCCTGATGTGAATAAGCAGGGACGGCAGGAGTGAAGGAGGAGGAGAGAGGCAGAGTTGCACCATGTCTGAAAAGACTAACATGGCTCACTGGTATTCCATGGAAAATAAGGTGCAACTTACGTTTCCCACAAGCTTGTCACATATCTGCGGAATGTTCTTGACACCACGGCTGTCCTCGATTATGTGGACGTATAACACCGTCAACCCACAATCCAGACCACTTCCACATGTGGTGGAGTATTCAATACGAATTGCGCCTTATCTCATTTTTTGAAGCAACCAGATCGGACGTTTCAAAAGAATTACCAGTAGATTGAATGCATGCGCAGTACATATCACTAAATCAAATTGCATTGGATGAATGTGGGAAAGTGGCACTGACTTGCCAGATGTCTTCCATAACCGCATGAATCATTATTACTAGGACTAAGGATGACCTATTCGGCCAGGGTAAAAGGTAGCATTCGCATACTTGGCAACAACTTAGTCATCTATTTGTCCAAGCCCTTTTTAAAGACCATTATTAGAGAAATGAATGTGCTAATTACTATCGGCATTGCCAATGAGAAACATGACTTAGAACGCTTACGTCGGTCCTCAAAAGCATAATATCGTTTCCATTTGCATGACTCTATTTAACATGATGACGAGGTTGCTGCACCTCCATGTCCCCAAGAAGAGCCGCTTTCACTGGTGCTCACACGCGTTACGACTATGCGCATGTGTCGCCGCGTCTACACAGTCATGATAAGCTGCAGACGACCACACTGCAGCCGAGAGGCTCTGTCGGCAAAGTCGGCCTGCCCGTGCCGGCCTCCCCCCCCCCCCCCTGTCCTGTCGGCAGGGTGTCCGAGCGCCGGCTGCCCCCTTCCTCCCCCCCCTCTGGCTGGTCAGCAGGGTGCCCGAGCGCCGGCTGGCAGCCGGCCTGCACCACTCCCCTGGTGGCAACCCGCGACGGCCTGCACCACTCCCCTGGTGGCAACCCGCGACGGCCTGCACCACTCCCATGATGGCGCCCGGTGGCGGCCTGGGGCAAGGACCGGTCCCTGGGCAGATTGGAGCCATAGTCTGGGGGTGCTGGCAGACCTCTCTCCGTGGTTTGGATAACATGCAACCAGTGCCTGGGGCGAAACTTGTCTGAGGTGCACCGGCCACCACCGGGACGATGAGATCATCTGGCCGCGTTCTCGTGGCGCCAAGCATGACTGGATGATCCGTGTGATGACCGCCAGCACGTGCCGTGGTCCCGGTCCGGTCCGCTCTCCGGCCGCGCGGACACGCGCCGTCACCAGTCTGCAGCGGTCTCTCGGGTCTGTTGTCACTCGTTCGACGTTTATGCTTTAACGACTCGGCGTAAACCCGTTACGACCTGTTTCCAGCCACTGCGGCTATAAAGTGTCCCGGGAGCATCCCATAAAACTACACCTCGAGTGAGAGCAAACGCCGAGCTTTGAACACAATCTAATCGTGTTACAGGGACAGGTGCTTGTTCAACAAACACGGCAAGCCTGTAGATGAGCACGATTTACCGCTTCGGATTCCCAGCCAACAGAGGCTTTATGCACAATAATGTTTCCGTTTATTTATGGACCGTATGTAAACAAGTAGGTCTTTGACTTGTAAACAGCACTATACGGATGTTAGGGGCTTCAGGTCTTGGTTGATAGCACACAGCCAAACGTCTAGCATTATCATGCCGCAGCGAGAAACTGTTTTCCATTCGGCGTGAGCAGATAAAGACGTCAAATTCAGAACATGTACGTGGAGAGGATTAATCCGTCAGCGTTATTTACATGATCAACTCCGACAGAGTAGCGAACATTTGACCCAAAACCGAAGTCAATTCTTATGAACCATACTTAAGCATGAACTGGTCAATAACCTGTATACGTGGTCAGGCTTAGAAGTTTCTTACATTTGTAAATGGCAGATGTGACATCGGTAAGCGTAATTGCGGCAACACAAACATCGTTGAAAGTAGCATGATGCTGACATATTCCATCAAAGGATTTCGTTACGGCATATATGAACAACGTCCGCATTTCCAACACCTGTTCATGCGATTGGGCATAAAACATGCCTACACAACAGCATTGAGATAATAGCTTGTGTGTACCATCAGCATGAGATGTGTTAACCCTCACCCCGATTCTCCGTTTTTCATGACGCGGGTGGATGGGGACGGCGGTGCGAACTCCCTCCCGGCGTCTCTAAATTCATGGAGATAGAATTAATGGAGAAAACACCAGTGGATTGGTCTTAGCGAGATCTCGCCATTGCTAGTAGTTCTATGCTTTAAGATTAGTAATTGATCCCATTATTCCAGGCTAAAGGCCAGCTTTTCCAAAATATCATACTTTTCAGCTTTACGCCATACATACGAGACCATGCCTTATAGGGCCATAAACACACAAACACAAGCAAACAAACACAAATACCAACCTAGTCGTATTCATTGTTCAATTCCGAGTGCATTGGTGTACTTTTAGTGTGTTTTGAGCACACATGTATTATTTATGGCCCTGTGAATGTGATATGTCGCCCCGCCGCGCGCGTTCCGCGGCATCCTCGGCTGTCGCCCGTCGCCCGCGGCGGCCGTAGATCCCCGTGTGATGTGCCTCAAAAACCGCCGCTGCTCCGCAACTAGGAAAGCTAGGAGCATGTTTTTAGTGTCGAACACGCACAATGGATGCCCGATAGGTTACTGAACTTTCGGGCGCGATTGCATAAAATGCAGCAAAGGTATTCTAAAAAACTTACGAGGAGGCTCGCACCGACCCCCATTCACCATTCCCATCCATATCAGGGTGGGAGCTAAGATACTGAAGTTGTTTAGGCGGCAAATGAGGCGCGGGATTTTATGTTCGTGTTGAATACAATTTCTAGGAACCTAGCCCAGCATCAACTCGTGTGGGCTGTTAGCTCTCTAGATCACTTATCTAGCGTGCTGACCCTAATCATGCGTGGTTTCTATTCCTAAGCACCACTTAAGATACAGGCTTGCAGATACAGACTACTTAAGATCCATTATTGATTCAAGAATTGCACAAGCTTCTTAGAAGGTACCAGATCCAATGGGCTTGAGGTGATCGCTGTCACGGAGCATCACTTAGGTCACATCCGGGGTGAGCCGAACAGAGACCGCTCGAGGACCACCCGAGGCTCGGAGTGACCCGCCGTTGGTCTGGGGTTGAAAACTCCTGACCTGTTGGCGGTGCACCGACTGGCCTGCTGGCCGTGCTCGGCTGGCGGGCGGGCCGCCATGTGTGACTGTTTCGCCGCCCATCGACTGGCCTGCTGGCCGTGCTCGGCTGGCGGGCGGGCCGCCATGTGTGACTGTTTCGCGGCCCAAACCACAGGCCATCTGTGGCTAGACCGTAGCCTTAACATCGGCGTTCCCCAGCCGACACACAGGTGGGTGTCGGCCGGCCATCAGGTCGACGTGCAGTAGCTAGCAGCGCACCATCGGCTACCATCAGGTCGACGTGCAGTAGCCAGCAGCGCACCATCGGCTACCATCAGGTCGACGTGCAGTAGCCAGCAGCGCACCATCGGCTACCATCAGTTCGACGTGCAGTAGCCAGCAGCGCACCATCGGCTGCCATCATTTCGACGTGCAGTGACCGGCAGCGCACCATCGGCTCCCACCAGTTTGACCTGCTGTGACCGGCAGCGCACCATCGGCTACCATCAGTTCGACGTGCAGTAACCAGCAGCGCACCATCGTCTGCCATCATTTCGACGTGCAGTGGCCGGCAGCGCACCATCGGCTGCCATCAGCTTGACGTGCAGTGACCAGCAGCGCACCATCAGCTGCCATCAGTTTGACGTGCAGTCGTCGTCTGAAGTTTTTCTGGTCCAATCAGCAGCAGTTTATTTTCTTATTCATTTGGAGGGGGACACTTCAGCCCTTACCAACTTTGAGAATACAGTAAGCCAAGCATTTTCTGGGCTAACTTAGGGCATCTTTAGCCATTTTCCATGTTAAGCCCCTCCCCACACTTATTTTGGGAAACTTCGTATCTGCAGTCTAGTTCAATTCAAGGACTGGCTACAAAACCCCGGATATATCCCATCGGAAAAGAAGTCAACTATTCATTGCCAGTTTCCAGGCAAAATTTCATGCGGTGGTTCTGCTCTGGTGATCCATTTAGTCTTAACCAAAACAAAACAGGAAAATCACCATACGTTTTCGGGAATCCTGCAATCCATGGCCAGTCTGTTCTGTGTTGACATGCGATTACATCGTTCACACGACTGCACCAATGCCATGCCACTGCGTACCTGCACACCACCCGAAACCCAAACTTGTAGGACAAAACATCGAATATCACTTCATTACCGCCTCCTAACGGCGCAGCCGATGTGCCCGGTGTGTGATTAGCCACCCCTGTGCACAGAAATCCGCCGTTAATGAGTTTCGGCCATGCGGAGCTAACCAATTACAGCCGGCCACGTCGGACGCCGCCGCCCCGGCCGCCATTACAGCAGTGGCATTCATCATCGTGATTGCCGGCCAAAATTTCAACCTATCATTTGGTAATTTGAAGCCCAGCCAGAGGGATGTGACTGGCGCGGGTCACGCGAGCCGGCGGCGCGGCCTTAATGACATCATCAGCCGGGTCGAGGCGGCCCGATGACGTCTTCGGGGAAAGCTCCGCGAGAGACGGTCGAGTGGGCCGCTCCGAAGGCTGCGGCTTTGAGCGGGCTGGAGGCTGCGCCCTCGCGTCGGTTCGGAGGCTGCGGCTTTGAGCGGGCTGGAGGCTGTGCCCTTGCGTCGGTCCGGAGGCTGTGGCTTTGCGCCGGCCAGAAGGTTCAGTCAGATGCCGACCGGCCTGTCGGAGTTGCCAGATGGCAGTCCGGAGAAGATGGAGTCTTAGGCCGGTAGGCGCTACATCAGCCGTTGCCAAACTGTGACCGAATTTCGGGCCGTCATATTGGGCGCGATTGCTCCTCTCCTACTTCGCTTCACGTACTCGGGCCGTGGTTGCGTTTTGGCGGCGTCTTGGTGCGCCGCTGCCTCTGCTCTAGTGAGCACTAACGACTGACTTGTTTTATTGCATGGCACACGTGGCTTGTTTTGCCTCGTGACCAGACATGTGCCTGGGTCCAAAAAAACTTGCAGGGTCCGATCCATGACTCTTGTTAACATGGCACCTTATTGGATCCTGGATTTACTCTTGGGATCTTCACAGCATTCTCGGTTGTTGTCGGAGGCCTCTGAGCTGACCTGGACGCCGCCCCCTCACCAGTTGACCCTGGTATGAGCGGAGCCAAACCGGGTGCTGACGTCAGCTGGGTCATGAGAAGACAAGCTAGCCTCAAACGCCCGTCCACTGAGCTGAAAGAACCCACCGTCATGCAGAAGCAAGCGTTGTCGGCTGTGGACAAAGTTACTTTAGCCATGACTTGTTGGTGCTCCCAACTTGATTACATGTTATGATCAGTCGACAAGCACACATGCACCAAACTGGAGAATTGATCAGCATCAAGCTCGTTGTACAGAGCATCAAACCGCTCCTCCAGCCCTTGGATGATAATCAAGCTCATTATCTGTTTTCAGGCGAGGTTCAGTCCGCACGGGCCGCTGCGCGCCTCTCCAGCCGGCGTCCGAGCCTCTCCAGCCGGCGTCCGAGCCTCTCCAGCCGGCGTCTGAGCGTCTCCAGCCGGCGTCTGAGCGTCTCCAGCTGTCCTCCGAGCCTCTCCAGCCGGCGTGCGAGCCTCTCCAGCCGGCGTGCGAACCTCTCCAGCCGGCGTCTGAGCGTCTCCAGCTGTCCTCCGAGCCTCTCCAGCCGGCGTGCGAGCCTCTCCAGCCGGCGTCCGAGCGTCTCCAGCTGACACGGCCAGACGCGGATCGGCGTCCGCGGCGCGCTCCTCAGTCGGCGCGGCCTCCGGCGCCGCGCTCTCCAGCCTTGCCGGCGCCGCTCCAGCAGCCGGCCAGGTGCGTCAGCTGTGAGCGGCGCGACCTCGCCTCGGCCGGCCGGGCTGGCGCGCCGGCCCGGCCCGGGCCCGGCCCGGGCCCGCTGCGCGCTCGTGTAGCGCGCGGCACGACGCTGTAATTGAGCGGTCCGTCAGCCGCCATGCTGTACAAGGTCGCCCCCCCCCCCCCTCCCGCCGCCGCCGCCGCGGTCGGCGTGCCGGGGAGGGGGGGGGGCGGTACCGGAGCGCTGCCGCCGCCGAGCGGGTGTCCGGTTAGGGAGTGGGGTCGGGAGAGGGGAGGGGAGCCGGAGAGCCGGCGGAGGCACCTGATCAACGCGGCCTGTGTGGTCGTCGGAGATGTTCAACTGGACGGCTGAACTGGTTGGGTGCAGATTGCATCTAGCAAATCACGAGCCTCTGTGTGGGAGACCCATCGAGGCGGAGATCCGATTCGAGCACAGATCTTGTAAGGCGGGGAAAAAGAACTGGTGTGAGGACTTCATGGTGCCCCTACTCCGACGCGACTCTTCTAAATGTCCGTTAGGAGGTAGCTGGACTCTTTGAACGGCGTCGCAGCACTCCCAGATTACACCTTTTGCGGTGTGATGTGGAAATCCGATAGGTGCCTCCTACAGGTTCAGAGCCAATTTTGTCATGCCCAACGCGCGCCCTGCCAGACCCAGGTCACATTACAGCAGCTTATGATGAGCTCGTTCCACATCAGCTTACTGCGAACTCAGGAACTCAAACTTTGTTTCGGCGTGGAGAACCTCACGACTTAATCTCACCACGCCCAGTCCTAGAAAGAACGCTTGATTACGAACGCATGACGGCATCTGAATTTGTTTGACTAATTGTTCACCATCACGGCTGTATTTTGAGTGATGCGATCCCTTTGTGTTACGATGGTCTAGAAGCGGGTACTTCTTGGCCCTGACATGACTTGTTCATAATAAGAAGTAACAGGGGGCATGATGTGACTAGAGGCAGGAGAGTCAGTTATTATTCTGTGAAGGCTCTGCCCCTTAACGTGGATTTCAACCGCTGAAATTTTTGGTGCAACGCAAAAGAAAATGAGGAAAAGTTCAATATCACAGAAAGCCTCCCTCGCTTGGATATTTCTGATGGTCATGGCTATTGCACACACTGTTTAAATAAGCATAAAGGGCTCGTCTGATAATAAACCAAGGAGAAACGATGAAAGACAAAAAGATCCGTTCGCCGCAGCAAAGAGGGCTAAAATTCATGGAGAAACACATGAGCCTCCCCCATCCCTGACACTCCATCCCTCATCACAAGCATGCTGTCAGTAGTAATGTGTTGGGCAGTGCGCGGCAAAGATTGTTTCACCTGACGTAAGGCCAAAGGCAAAGAGGTTTTCTTCACTTTACAACTAAGAGTCCACCGACTGCAGAAAGGAACGCAGCAGAAAGAGTGATATGACTATCCCCAGGTGATGCACTCAGTGACGAGGCGGTTATCGATAAGTTCAACCGTCAGTTCTTTGCAGGGTCTTTGGGTAATTTGAAACCTGGCTATGGTTGAGTTTAAAACCTGGGAGGAAGCTAACATGATCTTTTTAATTCACGTACATTTGTCGTCTTTGTACCTCAGTTCTTAGAGCATTAGGGTGTGGAACACTAGCTAATTTATGGTAAAAATAGGCGGTCGCGCCCTAGACACCGCACTTTGTCACTCATTTGTGGAGCAGAATTGTCAATTGGCAATGATGGTGTGGCTGAAACTGGGCGGCCATGTTGTAGCATTGAGTGGCGGGTCAACCGATTTCAGCTAAAAGTTGTCCGCAAACCGAATTTCTGTTGTTTTTTTGGGGGGATGCAATCAGGACCCGTGCAGGTAGCCGTGGTTTCTAAAGACTCTGATCCCAAACCCATTACAACAAAGCCACTTGCTCAACGCCACCTCAAAACTTTTGAACATCTTTAGAAAAATGTGAAAATTAACTATCTCATCTGCCTGTCCTACGCGTATGAATCGTCGTTGCTTGGCGACATTGAGTTACAAAAACACAGCACTACTGCCTAGGCGGCCCACTGATGCAGGCCGGCGGCCGCGAGTGAAAGGAAGGGGCGCCGCCGTTCGCGGGCCCGGCGAGCGCTCAATAAAACTGACCGGGTGCCAACAAACGTACGCGCCGCTCGGTACAATAAACCTGCGTTGGCTGGCCGACATCAGTCTCGTGAGTGGACAGCCGGTGTCGGCCGCGTGACACAGTTTTTCCAGTGCCTCACGCGTCGCCGGAGCGCCGCACTGATCAGGTGAGACGGTAAAACATCACGTTATCATAACACGTGGCTAGATCGCCATAATGAAGTACACAGCCTTAATGCTATTGATATAGCTGTTCATTAATGCAAGATGCATGTAGCACAAATTCACGCTCACAAATTCACATATGTATATGTATATATATATATATATATATATAATTGTCGTATATATATATATATACATTTCATATATACATATAAGTATATATATATATATATATACATATATATATTTCGTAAGAGCCTGCTTCATTTTTCGGCGGATTTTTCAGCGACATCATTTAGCAAAGGGACCTAAAATGTCGTGTAAGTATGATCGCGCAATTGGATGCACAACAAGCAGCGTCATCTATGGCCTTCATTGTAATGTGTGCGAATGTGTATGTTATATCAGCTCTATGCTTTTGGAGGTTCCGTATGTTCACCGACGTAGGGGTCCTATTTTCGAGAGGAGAATGCGGGAAAAAGGAGAAAAAATTGACAAGAGCATAATGTAGATATGGCAAGCGTGTTGCCGTTAGCGCCAATATCCTTTCCATCTATCATAATCAGAAAATATACCAGTTGAAGGATGCTTATTTCATCACCTTTTCAACACAAGCTTCTCACAATATTCGCCAACTGTGTAAAAACTCTAATGTGGTCAGGAAGGCTGCTAAGGCTACTAGGAATTGTCATGCCAGATGGTTGTGAATGGATGGTATGACATTCATGTTATTGTCTGCTGCTTCATCAATCATAAGAGTGAATTGAACACGTTTGGTGTTCTAGCGTTTGGTGTCCTACTATACGCTCTTCTTCGCATCCAGCCTCGCACGAAACGAATGCTATCGAGCAAGACATTTTGTTGCTGTGGGAACTGAACTGTCCCTCCATCAGCCAGCCTATGCCAGATGAGTTTGCGCGACATCTGGACCAGTAATCTAAAGGGCTTTGGAAAATACGACTTAACGGATGCTCTGACCCATGCAGAGGGAGTTAACTCACTTAACTCTGTATTATGTGTTCAGTGAGCTCAGATGTTCAGATGAGTTACCGACCTTCATTTACCAGGAGGTACTGGTTATTTGTTTAGCAAGTACCTCCTCCTATACTGAAGATCGATAACTCGCCATGAGAACCCAACACACATTATACTAAAAAACCGGAAACTGAAGGCCTTTGTTGCTGTCATCAAGTGACCTGCTATCCGCAACGAAGCCTGGGCGAGTGCATCTTTGGGAGAATGAAGTCACTGAACTATTTCATTCTTGCCACAAAAAGTGGCGCCACTCACCTTAAGTGGTGCACTAACTGACTTGTAGCATTTCATCAACCAAGAGCTCGGCGTACAGCAGCTTAATCCACGGTCCAGTCCAGCAAGTTCAGTTCTGTGCGTTTATTGTTTGAAATCGTGTCATGCTGACCAGCGAATGAATAGCCGATCTTGCCAGCCGGGGCCATGTACGTCTGCCCGTAGGCGGACGTACGGGGGCCGGCCACGGGGCCTTGTGATATGCCACAGTGGGAGGGTACGGTGGCTCTAAGCCAGACGTCCGTTCTCAGTCAGGAACGCTCCCAGACAGATCTGGGGCGGTGGGCACGACGCGCACATTGACTGCCAAGCAGCAAATCATCGCCGAAAACGAATGCCATCAAATGCCAGCATCGATGAGCGTTCTACACTCCTGCCCTAGACACCCGTCCTGTTCTGAGTGTGCCACTATGTTCAGTCACGCGTGTGCCGCTCTGTCCAGTGACGTTATGACGTCACGCGTGTGCCCTGGAATGCTGGGCGGCTCGTGTGTAATCCCCCCATCGGAACGAGCTGGCCCCCCAGCCCATTCGTTCCGCGATGGTTTATATATATATATATATATATATATATATATATATATATATATATTATATATATGACATGTATCACACTTTTAGCCGTCGGCAGCTATCTGTAAGATGCGAATCGGTTGCAATCTACCATGTGAAATGACGTTTTTGTCAATTGGACGTTGACAATCATACCCACTCAGCAAATGCAATACGGTGGATCGGAAACGGTCCGTCTGGTAACAGCGCGCGGCATATCTTATTTGAATGTGGGCAATACAATCCGCTGCGGCCATGCTCCTAGTGCACATCATGGCAGAACAGTACAGATAACGCCAGTGCAATCTGATGCCCAAATATGACCCAAACCATCACTCGGCACGCCTGATTCGTCTGGCCGACTTCTGTGGCGATGACATCGGTCCCAGAGCCCAGGCCTCCGTTCAACTCCGGGTACATCCGTTCGCTCCGTGCGCGAGGCACGCGCCAAACACAAAAGGTCGGGCCGCCTCTGTGCTTGCGAGCGCGTGAGTGAGCCCCAAGGCAGCTTCAAGTCGCCACCTATCTGTGTGTCGCTCAGCTTCAGAGGACATCGAATTTGAACGTTGTCACTGAAGCCAGACGGCCAATTCTGTTTATCATGATATACATCACATATAAGTAGTTGCACTGGCTGCAAAGACTGGTATGCATCACTTCAAGTGTTAATGAATTGAATAAGAAAATAAATACAACACGAACCTGACGTGTTTGCAGCCAAGGTTAATATGTGTGACACTGATCCGCACAATTTTGGGATGAACACTGACTCAGGTGTCTTGCCCGCATGCCTGCATCACTCAACAATGTACCTACAGGTACTTTACAAAAGCATGTGAGCATGTCAAATTTTGTGAGTGCACAGCAATATGGTAAAGGAAAGGTTGTTCATTTACTCAATACTTCAAACACGGATATGACATGCCTGACTTTTTTAATTTCGTGAGACACGTTTTAAGATAGAACTGTGTCTTTATTAAGATAACTTTTTTAATCGGGTGTGCAATCGGTTGCACTAAACCTAACTTGGTGTGAGTTTATATTTTAATCACACATTTACGTTTTCACGTACAATTCATTACAAATTCATGACTAGATCTTGAGGAGCATCCAAATTTGGCTTATCTTTCACATTGGTAAGAACGAAAAAACCTGGACAACCAACTACGCCGAAGATTTCTTTGAAGATTTTCAGGCCAATATCAAGGAGAAATTCATCATCTAGGTACACTTGAGACAAAATTAACAGCTGAACTCCGAAATTCCCAACCTTACTATACTTGCAATCGTATTCACGTGTCTTACACAAGCTGTGACAGCATTTTGAGTGCATTAGGTCAACACTGGTCGTGGCTTTCACTGCCCTGAAATACATTCATGCCACGCAATACGTTCAGTTTTCCTCTACACGGAGAGAGAGGCGTCTCGGGGAACTCGGCACAGCTCAGTTCGAAGCAGTGCGCCCACACTAACTGCGCAACGTCTCAGCTTGACCTGTGACGCCACTATCACATTCAGAACGTACTTGCCAGGCCTATCTCTCACTGCTTCTTTCACTCAGAGACGCAAAGAACTCAGTATCACTAGAAGCATTATCCAAACAAACTTGCCGAATCTCCAAATCTAACCACCGTCGCCGCCACCAACCATCGACTGGCCGCCATGTTGAAAGTAGTTCCCTCCGTTTAAGCTCCGCCCCCTGCGATGTGCTTGCGCGTCGCCCCGGCGCTGGCCCGGCCCACGGCGGGTGAATTCGAACAGGGCCGCGGTGCCGCGAGGCATCGGACGCCGCGACTCTCAGATGGAGCGCTGGCGCGAGGAGAGGGGCCCGTCTGTGGGACACTGTGGCGGTGAACCGCCCTGACCACATGTCAGGCAAGAAAATAACTAGCCAGAACGTGCCACCACCGGACACTGGTCCAACTCAGAATACCGCTGCGAGGGACCTGTGCGCTTTTGTTGGTTGGGTGGCCTCACCTGTGAGACGCAGTAGGAGCAGGTCTACTTGGCCACTGAGCTGGGGTGAGGCGGGGCTGGCGCGGCGCCGCTGGGCATCGCGGCGCTGCTGGGCGGCTGGGCCAACGCTGGGTCGGCGCCGCCCAGCAGCGGCTGCTGCGTCGGCTTCTCGTCGGAGTTTGCTACCCCCGCAGCCAACTTGGACGCCTGCGACTGCTTCTCTTGCTCGTTCAGTTCCTTGATAGCCTGGATCTCCTTCTTGAGCTTCATGCGTCGGTTCTGGAACCAGATCTTGATCTGTCGCTCCGTTAGACAGAGCTGGTGCGCCATCTCTATCCGGCGCCGGCGAGTCAGGTAGTGATTCGTGTGAAACTCTTTCTCCAGCTCCAGTGTCTGGTACCGGGTGTACGTCTGCCGGCCCGCGTCGCCGCAGGCCGTGCGGACCATGACCTGAGGGCACGCGGGGAGAGACGCTCAGACACAGTGTCGTTATCAAGGGCGTGCAAATGTCACGCAAGGCACTGCAAGGGCATGGGCACTGGGCGGAGACGAGTAGCTTGGGTGTTAATAAGTCCACGATTAAATTCAAAATTTCCGATAAGACCAAGCGCACTTTGATTGCAAATTAGCTGTGATGAGATAATGAAATACACAAGCCAACCACATAAGAAGTGCATATCATTCTCAATTATCAATAAAGCAAGGTTATCGAATCCCAGCATCTGCACCAAAACCAACTCGTCGACTAGTCCTGGTGAATACCCTGATGATCACTGTCCACACTTCGAGTACACATTTTCTCCGCTAGGTGAAAGGAGCCCACCGACGTTCGCGTTACGTCGTCAGCACCCCGGCATGCTATCCCGAACACTTGGATAGGTCATAAAGGGTAGAATAGGGGTAATTCGAGGCATAAAAGTCAACTGAGGTAGCACAGGCCGTGAAACAGGGCAAGATACGCGGGTGGGCCGGCCGCCAGGGGCGAGTGCAGAAGTTGTCGAACAGGACTGGTGTTGATCAGGACCGGGCATTACTGGCTGCCGCGTGAGGCAGCGGGGCAGGGCGACCAGGGCCAGGAGAGGAAAGCGCGCTTAAAGGCAATTCCTTACTTTGCAGCCAGGCGGGGGTAATTGGCGCGCTCCGAGGCTGAAAACAAAAGGAGAAAACTTAGCTGACTGAACACGCACAGATCCATGAAAGAATGCGAATCGTGACCACGTACGTTGCTGCAGGCAACACAAATTACAATCGCTTTGATAACGTCATTTTTCATACGTCACACAACGTATTAAAACGCGTTCAAATGAGCCATTGCCTCGCCTGCACAGTTTCTCCACTCCCATCGAGAGGAAGGTAACAGGCAGCTCCCCCACTCCCATCGAGAGAAAGGTAACAGGCAGCTCCCCCACTCCCATCGAGAGGAAGGTAACAGGCAGTGCCAGGTTGCACAGATTGGTAGCTCGGTGGAAAACAACAAGACCCTCTGGTGAGGTAGCGGGACGGCATGGGATCAGCGGGGCATGTGGAGTACCACTGGTCGGGGGAAGGACGAAGGTACACAAGTCGGGGGGATGGGGTACAAGGATACACCGGTCTCGGCACGGCACTTGACGGCATCGGACGGCATCGGATGGCATCGAATGGCAGCAGCATCAGCAGGAAGTCGGCGCGAAAAACTTACCAAACGGCTTACCGTAGTTCTCAACAACGCTAAACAATTCAAGAACGCTCAGTAACTTTGAAGAACGAGACAGCCCGCACGGACCGGGCTTCAGAACTCTCAGTAATTTTGATGGAAGAGAGCCTGCACCACAGTGCCTGAGAGCGCTCAGTCATTCCGACCAGAGAGACAGCTCGCACGAACCAGGGCCTAAGAACTCTCAGTAAATATAACGGGAGAGATAGCTTGCACGAACAGGGCCTGTGAGCGCTCAGTCATCCTGACCAGAGAGACAGCCCGCTCGAACAGGGCCTGAGAGCGCTCAGTCATTCTGACCAGAGAGACAGTCCGCTCAAACAGGGCCTGAGAGCGCTCAGTCATCCTGACCAGAGAGACAGCCCACTCGAACAGGGCCTGAGAGCCGCTCGAATAGGGCCTGGGAGCGCTCAGTCATCCTGACCAGACAGACAGCCCCCACCCCCACCCCGCACACAGTGTGCAGTGTACCGAAGCCACACGGAAGACCGTGGAGTCGCTGGCCGGACCTGCTGAGCCCATGAGTCGACATGTCAGAATTATAAAGGAACGTTTGATAAAGAAGTGTTCCGATAAAGGAACCTTTTTAACCAATTCAGCCTCCATGAGGGTTAAAGACGGGCGGACTGACAGGCATGACCAGTGGTGTAGCCAATGAAGTGGGGTTTATGTGGTCGTGTCACATCCCCTCCCCCTTGTAGAAGGCGGGGCCCAATGACAGCGAAGGCCCCAGTGCATTTTGGCATACCAACCGTCTCTACCGTTGCTCTGGTAGGTTTTCCGCCCATCTCTCCCAATGTGGTGTGAAATTGCCGCCAATTTTTCACCATTCCCTGGAGCATTCACTGCACGTGTTTCTTTAAACCAAAAACGTATCTGTCATTTCTGACTTCCGAGTAGAGATGTTTTGCTTACGACCCTGCACGGAGATCTGCGGTCGGTGCGGCCGGCGGGTGGCAGCCGAAGGGTCTGCCGATCGCCGGCGGTGCCAAAGACACGGTGGTATTTACGGTCACTCACGTCCCCAATGTTTGCTCAAATCACACAAGCCTACATGCCTGCGTACTCAAAATTGAACTAAACATGCACATAACATGCATAAATCATATGTTAAAGCGATGCATGACTTTTATAAGTTGGTGCGCCAAGCTGAAATATCCCAGGATGTGGGAAAAATTCACCTTTGTTGTGGCTAGTGGGGCCAATTCTTGACGAAGCAACACAACACTTATAACTCATCCCAAGATCTCGCTGAGACCAAACCACTGGCTTTTCCCGCCAGTCTATATTACTTTTGGTTTGGAAATCGCAGGGGTGTCCCCGATTCCCCCTCCCCCTCATCTCCCCCGCCTCCAATCCATTCGTCTTGTGAAAAACGGCGAATAAGGGCGCGATTGCCGTAGAAAGTTTGAAACATCAACATACGGCGCTTCAAGCATCAAACGGCATTACAAGCTTAGGATGGTCCGCAGATTAAAAAACAGGGCCTATATGCGACGAAGTGGCGCCCTTTGTTATGCTTCAGCCCCGTTCTGGGTGGCATCTGGGCTATGCCACTTCCTAGACCTAGACGAATAATTATCATGATCCTGCTCCTTTTGTACCAAATAGCATTCTGTAGGTTCCCAAAGGTGTTATTTTGCCAGCTTTTTCATGTGTTAGGCCAATCTGCAAACTGTTAACAGATTTTCACACGATGACACCTTGGATTGGGATGAAAAGCATTTGACTGCAATATGTAGCAGCTTTTAAAAGTACAGGATGGTCCAGATAAAAGTTAGCCGATGTTTCTCTCAACAGTGGCAAGAATATTCTTCACACGGTCGTGACTCTGGTGGTGTTCAAATACTAATGGGATGGTAAAACATGATCAGCGGCAGCAGGTAGTCATCAGTCGCTCCACACCAATAAAATTGTGACTACTAAAGGTACTAGATTTATCAATCAAGACAGGAATAGTCTTGCTTGTCTTTTAGGCATATCACAGTAGTGTACCCAAAACTTTTCTGCAGGTTCTCAACTGCATGTCAGGCACGTCATTCTGCATAAAACAGTCTTTTTCACCTCGGGTCAACTTCGACGAATGATGGAGGGCGCCTGTTCTCATCGCTCCCAAGGGCTCGAAATACCGTGATGTTTCTTTTCTTTGAACTAACCCATTTTGAGTATTGCAAAAATGCATAATCACGTTACCTGGAGATGGGAAGTCATTCCAAAGCAGGACAAATAAAACTTGAATCAAATACGAAAAAGACATCAGCAATGCAAGTTAAGGTGGCAGAGAACTTGGGAAAAAATCAGGTTTCGGAGTCGGTTGCTCAACCGCATGGACCCAACCCCGCCCGCCGCCGCCAGTTTCAAAAGTGTCACACCTGCTGATGCTACTTTCTATGTTATCTTTAGCAGTAATGAAGGTCTGGTTTCCACTGGTGATCTCGATGGTCTTCTGCACGTTATTCAGGACCAACAAACCAGTGGCTAGGCCTAAGGTCTGATGGCTGATGCCAGTGCCATATACGTTGGAGACCTCATTGCCAAACATATCCAGGATGTCTTTGTGTATGGCTGCTGAATGCAGAAATGACCTAAGACCTTACTACTTGTCAGTATGAATCACACTGAAAAGCCCTGATCCCCTGAGATGACTGGAGAAATTGACGTGCCAGCTTGACATAGCACGTATGTGTTAGTCCCAGAGAAATGTATACAAATAATCATTAAAATGTTGTGGTGGCCAGTGGGAGCTGCCAGTCCTGCGGGGGCTGCAGTCGTGCATCATGCTTACCGCGCTTTGGACTTCCTTTATGAACTGCAATGTCGCGTCATGATGCAGACGTTTTACATCTCAGTATAGCAAAAGCGTGGTCGTCACAGCAAAATCGCCACACAATTGTGATCTTCGCATTAAAAATCAGCGCAAGATGTGGTTGGTGGGCCATGCCCAGCAGTGGCTCACCACTGTTTTCTGACTTCTGGAGCAGCTAGACCGTCAGGGAAATCGGCCCTGCAGCCTGACTCTGGACCAGTGCTCTGCCATATGAACATGACGTCACCAGTGCCACTCCACTGAACCGCCACTCACAGCCTGCCATACCGCTCACGGCCTGCTATATACCGCTCACGGCTTGCCATACCGCTCACACCCCTGCCATACCGCTCACAGCCCGCTATATTGCTTACAGCCTGCCATACCGCTCACAGCCTGCCATACCGCTCACGGCCTGCCATACCGCTCACACCCTGCCATACCGCTTACAGTCTGCCATACCGCTCACACCCTGTCATGCCGCTCACAGCCTGCCATACCGCTCAAGGCCTGCTACACCGCTCACGGCCTGCTATACCGCTCACAGCCTCTCTCGTCTCTGAAGCAAGCGCGCTGCAGCCATGAATTGGGAATGCTGTATGGTAGATGGGGCAGCAGTCACACAAGTCATGTTTGAAATCGCCATTATTTTGCGACTTTCCGACTAAATGACAACCGTTTTGATAGTTTTACCGTGCCAACTTTCCCGGAATTTCCCAAGCTTGACTGCAGCTTCCAACTGGACAGATATCAACCCTCAGCACCCACAAAACATTACTATATCACTTTACACACAACAAAGGAAAGCAGCGCTATATGAACGAAGGAAGTTGGCGCCCGCTGGCTGGCTGCCAGCTCTGGTTTTCATTTGCTGACGTCACATCGTTCAGCGGTCGCTTCACCGGATCATAATGTTTTTGCGACTTAAAAAGTTTTAAGTTGTTATTAGGAACTATAAGCAAACAAGTGCTACATGACAGTTGAGGATATTTTGTTTCATATTCGGCACAAAATTAGAAGAGGAAACCAGAGATAACCCGCCTTTTCATATGCTGATCCTGGCGCATGTAATTAGCCCAACAAGCCCAACCGAGCTCTCGCAATATGTGAAGGGTACGTATTTCCCCGTGCAGTCTGGCATAACAGGCAACAAGTCTGCTGTTACCCCCGCGCTTTTTGTTTAGTCTTAGTTGTCCAATGCTGAACACCCACCACGACCAGGCTCCCCGGAAAGATCTTCGGCCATTTTTTATTGGTTTGCCTTCGAACCAATCGGTTTGCACAACATTGCGTGTATTTGATCGCTGTGTTAAGAGGGTTAAATATCATCATCGTCAGCACTCGGCTTCTTAGGTCTCTTCGCGCCTATATCTCTATCGCTGTACCGTCGTCAGAGGATTGCGTGACGATGTACACCGCATGTCAGCTAGTTTCGTTCTCTGCTTTAATAAAAATGTAGCCGTACGCTGAGCATGCGTATAAAAAGAGCTCAGTATCGCAATCGCGACAGATGCACTGTATCGGGGATGGTGGGCCAAATCAAATAAGCCTTAGTCCAACACGTAAGGTGTGTCGCCACCAGTCGAGGATATCGGTATGCATCGGATCAACCCAAAATAGGTCAAGTTGGGCAAAAAATGACACGTTTCTGGACTTACAAGAAATTTTGAGCACCTTTGACTAAGCAAAGTTTGTTTTAGAACACTTCTTTACGCAAAGGAAATAAAAATAGTGTGCTTTTTTAAGCATGACACCTCTGTGAGCTGAAATTTTGGCATTTTTTTCATTTGTCAATTTTAAATCTTGACAATCATGATTTTGGCCTCCCAAGACAGGGTTGCTCCCCTCAAGCGGTGTTCGAAACCTGCCCTTGCATGTGTGCAAACCCGTAGTATGCTACATCGCTACATTTTTTACTTTGTTGGAATTCATATTTTATTTGAAATGTTCTGATAACACGCAAGTGTTCAGGTCAATGAAATGTGGCATTGTCAAGAAAAGCGAAGAAATGCACGAGGACGAACGTGGTTAAACGGCATGCATGAATGACTGTTTGGATAAAATGGCCACTTAGGCAAGGCTAATTAAGGCAAAGCCATCGTTGTCGAAGATAACATTCCAACGCACCAACATTTCAAGATTTGTGGAAAGCCGAATGGTCGCACAATGAAGGGGCAAGCCAACATGTCAGGTGCTGATTCAGAGCTTAGGAAGTAAAGTCGTCGCCAGAGCACGCACCGACTGCCTTTTCGGCTGCGGTGTGGTCACCCCTGTGCCAGTAATGTAATGGTCGTCTCGCCCGAGAAGTTACGTGCGGGCCAGCTCTCTGGCTTCGCTCAAGTCATCATAGTGAGACTGCAACACTTACCACGCGGGAGCTGGGAAGGAACGTCTGTCGCCGGGAAGGCAAAACAAAATGTTCAATGGCTCAGCATAATCTTTAAAAAATGTCATCAGATTTGGCTAGGGCTAGGTTTTGAGTGTAATACTACGACAGGTTGTAAGTGCTTTCAGGAAGGTTTCCCACCTTATTCCAAAACAAGTTTGGATGCCTACCTTTGGTCTTCAAACTTGGTCACCAAACTTCAATGCATGTTCCTCACAACACCAAGCCCTGGAATTTCCCTGTTTATATAATTAACCCAAACTTTTGACTCAATAAGTCAAAAAGATGCTAGGAAAAGCCAGAAGGCGTCAACCAGCTCCTTCAAACCGTTTCGGAGAAACTAGTCAACTACCCGAGGCACCATATTGTTTTGGCTTTTGACTGCAGCACCATACTAAAAGCCAAGATAAGAACGAAGCAAATGAGGCAAAATGGCACGTTGCAAGTTTCTACATATTTTGGTCGAAAACTATTGTTAAATATGCCCAATCCCTTTATCATGAGCGGGAGGGCTGTTCATAATCCTACGCAGCGTATGGGGGCAGGGGGCGGGTCTTCTCCTGCCGTTTTAATAATTGTGAAAGGTGGAGTGGCGAAACTCACACGGCGGGTGGATAACATAGAGAGCAATATTGTGGGAATCATCCCCAGACCAATATCTTTAAGGTAAGGTGAGGTCTAGAATTTCAAATTTTGAATGTTTTGTAATGCCATCGCGCTTGGCCGGCAGCAGCTGATTTTCCGTAGAAACAGCTTAAGGGCGCAATCGGTAATTGATGAATTATCCACACGTATTGCTTGACAAGAGCAGTAAACACGAGCTGCCATTAAGCTTAGGGTACAACTTCGACCAAGGACATGACTCACATATCGGCATTTGTGCATGTGACAACGTTGAGGTGGCCCAAGATTGCTTCAGTCAACCTTTTACGAACTGGACATGAAACGATCTCGGCCACGCCACCATGAACTTGATGTTATAATGCATTAAAAATGCATTGAAAAACATGCCAATGTTGTCAAGAGCATTTCTTACTGCATATATTCCTGGAATGCATTAGCACCAACTTCCACGCTCGGACGTCGCGCTGGCCGTGTTGTGAAATTGACGGACCGCATTTTGAAAACGTACCTGTCAATCCTGTCCTTAGTTATTTTAAAGACACGCTAGGTACCCATTTGCAGGCACACACAACAGCATGCATATTTGGCATTCACTCTGGAAATACTGACGAAAAACGGAAGGGAGTTCGCCTCCCTCCCCCGCTCCATTGCGCGTAGTAAAGGATGTCTTGGCCGAGCCAAACAACACCAATGCCGCGCCTTGAGATAATGAGTGAAGTTTCTGGACATAACTCGGAGACGCATTAAGAAGTGATTTCCATAATTTCAACATTTCTCTCATCGGCCGACATAAAATCCAGCGAAATTTCAGATTCAATCAAACAGAGAAGGCCGTTCCCCTTCAAACGTCAAGATCGTTTTACTCCAGCCTGAGGCATGCTTCAATTTTCTCTAAAAGGAAGACAGTAAGTCTGCTGGAGTCGCCTTACCATCCCCCAAGCCCCATAGAACACTCTTGTCTCGTCTTGTTTCGAGGTAGCTGGCCCACTATCATGTCGCTCCTGTATGAACGGCCTGAGGAACGGCGTCCCGTGACATCCTTTTTTCTGGAGTTACTTGCATTCTGTCTGGCGCTCGCCGATTGCACGAGAAGGCTTTGGGAGTGTTTAAATCACTGGTTGTACTAAGAGACCATTGCCTTTTTCTAGCCTATTCTATTCTAACCCTCCTACCCCGCCTTCTTCTCCCATCATCGGTGAAGAGCAGCCAAAGTTCGCTGATAATCATCATCAGAAGTATCAAATCAAATTGGGATACAAAGCATCTGTTAACATCATTTCTATGTGAATAAATATCATCGGACCCCAAGGATATGAAGGGGTAACTCTGGGACCAAAGCCTTTGGTGATCATCACGGCACGGATGCCCTGCACCACCTCCGCCCTTCAGAGCCTCTTCACTGCGCGGCTCGCGTGTTGAGGGACATCACGGCACGGATGCCCTGCACCACCTCCGCCCTTCAGAGCTTCTTCACTACACGGCGTCACTCGCGGTTGGCAATGAACCACACGAACCGAGCTACAGGACGTTATATCACGTCCCATTGGGCCGAGGGTGGCACCGCAGGGGTGCTAATCGAGAGTCATTAGTTGCATGTCGCTGTTAAATTCTGGGTTGTTATTATCTAAAAATGAGGGTATCATGCCAATAACAAACTTTGATTTCACTCATGGTCATCCGTAGGCGGCAGCAGTATAATGATATTTCAGACTGATAACTTTTATGATGGCCATTCGACGACGACCTCCATCAGAGTCCTGACAATTATTTAGATACAATGGGAAGACACTAGGGCCTGGTAGAGGCCGTCTGGGGTCCGACAAAGGCGAGAAACCCTTCAATGCGGCAGGGGCCAATCCGTGCTTATTTCCAATCCCCATTGGTGGGCTAAGGTGCACTTCTTCACGGTTTTCCGTTTTTATTATTTTACGACGGATTTTGCTTCTTTGTTGTCTTTTAACCAGTTGCCCGTCCATCCTTTCATTGCACTCTTATTCCTGTGGACCTTTGTATCTCTCGAAATTTAAGCTTTTGATCTTTCACCTTTATATAACTGTCGCTGTTGACTTCTGCCCATTTTCGCCTTATGCCTCGATTCGTAGCATAGGCCAAAGGCCGAGACAGCGGCATCAGAGGCGGAGGCAGCAGATGTTTAACAAATAAGTGCACAGGCACGAATGTTACAGCTAAATTCGCCTTCCCGAATCCATGGGGTGAGACACATCCCTCATGTGACGAAAATACGGTGTGGACTCAAGCGTGTTGCAAATGGACCATTCGCTCCAGTAGCCAGTAGGTGCACGTAACAATGGACCATATGCTCGTGAGTAGCCAGCAGGTGTGCGTATTCCTGGGGTACCTCATGAAAGTTTGATATAGAGAGACAGAGAGATCAAGATGTGACCAGGATAAGTTGCTTTGTCGAGGCTCTTCCCCCCAATGCCAATCTTGAGGCTTAACAGCGCCAGTGATTTATCAAACATCATCAGGCTCCTTGCTCCTCAGCCTTTATTCATTGGGATCAGACAGGTTTAAATATGTAAGCCCTGTGCTCATTAATAACGTGTTTGTTACTCGATAACTGTCTTAAGATGAACAAGTGCTGCCGTCTGCAGCTGGTGGTATAAGGAGGCCTTTTGCGGCTGCTGGTTTATAAAGACCTTTTGCGGCTGCTGGTATATAGAGGTTGTTTGCGCCTGTTGGTATGAGGAGACCTTTTGCGGCTGCTGGAATCAGGAGGCCTTTTGCGGCTGCTGGTATATGGAGGCGCATGGCTGCTGCTTACGCCTTGCGTTTTGGGTCAATATAAGTAAGACCCATTTCAACAGTATATTGGGACTGCAATTTACGCCCGGGCTATGGCCCAGTCCGAATGTCAAGAAATTGTCCCCGTATGTCTTGTTTCAACTTGCGTACGAAGGCGATAAATGAATGGTATCGTCTATTTTGCCCTTACGTTGCTTGTCGGAGGTGATTTTCTCTCCCCCACCCAGCCTTGCAGCAGAAAGCAATGGAAGGCGATTGCAGCGATTTTTTTGCTAAAAGGTGATAAAATGGGTAAAGCTTTACGTGTCGGCAAATTATTTAAAAGGGATAACACTGGGACACATACTGTAATTTTTGGATACTTGACTGCCAGTGTAAGGCCTATTTAATAGGTATTATTGGCTTTGTTTTGTTTTGTGTGTTTTATTCATTTTACATGTGAAGTCTTGAGCTTCGTCGACTTTGGGAAGAGAGGCAAAACAGCGCGGTCTGAATTTTGAACGAGACATTCAAGCACATGTGTTGGCCTCTGTATTACAAGTCCATCCATGTAACCTAGCAACCCCTTCGTCCCCTCCAACACTTGTTTCAACTGTTACGTTTCCAAACCCGTCTCTTGCAGGCACCGATGATAGCGGGCGGACCATCTCTCCCGGAGGCCTCTGCCCTAGTGAACCATGCTCGCCTCCCCTCCCCCCCCCCCCCCCCCCCCCCCCAGCAGCCTGGCAGTGTTCTGGGCACCCGATGATAACCAAAGTGGTTAAATATTACTTTCTTTCCTTTGGCACGAGGAGCGCCAGGAGGACGCTAGATCGATTATCATAGATGAACTGTTCATATGTGAATGAATGAGCTCTAGAGAGGCAACGGTGCATGGTTTAGCGTCACATCCCTTACGCACAACCCACGTCACCCCCCGTGTACGGTATGACTGCGCGGGTACGGTATGACTGCGCGGGTACGGTATGACTGCGCGGGCACACGTTACCAGGAGACGCCCAGCACCGGCAGCGGCCGCTAGCCTTCCACTGCCCAACTGGTCGCCTCTTCAGTCCACTGGCGGCCGTCTGCGTGGCCGCCGGTGGTCGTCTCTGTCATGGCAGCCATGTGTGGTGGTTCCCAGTCATGTGCGTCTACCTCCGCCGAAGCGTCGGCGGTGATGTCCAATCGCCGGGCAGAAGGGACGGGAGCCGGACTCGTCTGGGCATCCGACGGCCCGCGGACATGAGACCGGCGGCCGCCGGACAGGCCGGCCCCAGAGTAACGCCCCGGCTGGCCCCAGCCCGGCCGATTTATTCACCGATATTTCAAACGGGCCGACGTATCTTTGCAACTCCGAAAGCGCTGTGCTAAATCTCGCCGGCCTTTCCGACGGCCTGGTAAATCTCCTCGGCAGCCGCCGCATCTGTGAGATCGACGAGCGGCAGCTGGCAGGCTGTGCCCCGCGGCGGGCTCCATGATTGCAGACCCGGTGTGGCCTGGAGCATAGGGGCGTGATTTCACTCCGAGTCCGAGCCTAAAAATTAGTGGTGTGCTTTTCTATAAAATAATTGACATAATTATCCCACGTGATTTTCTCCGTTGGGTGTGTGTATAACATTTTGATCGTTGAGGGTTAACCTTTCATTAGGCCTGATTTAGAGGTCGTGTAAGTCCTCACGATACTAGAATTTCGGAAGACTCCCATCACTTTTGGTCGTAAATTGCACCTAATACGTTCTAATTATCTTTATGGAATCGTCCGACAAGAAACTTCCATGACATTTCCATCAAATTTCGCCATAGTTGCATTAATCCAGTAATGTGTCCTAACTAGCACGGAGGCCTGTTCCGTACACGCCGTGCCGGGTAGGTGGCTCACCAAACGTCCCTCTGTCCGCAGCACCTACAGCTTTTGATACCCGCGGCGGTCGTGGCGCGGCGCCGAGACAAAAGCGGTGTCCGGCATCGGCGGGGGTGGCGGCGGCAGCGGGGCAGAGCACGCACGGCCGGCTGGCCGAGCGCGGTCGATACTGCCTAGCCGCGCGCTGATTGGTCGTCGCGCCGCTCGGCCATTTTGAACCGATTAAATCAGAGCTGACGCAGTTGGCAGCGGCCGAACACGAGATGCCCGGCCGTCACGCACTGGCCGCATCCCCAGTGCGTGAGCCTGGGGAGCGCGTGCCGGTGCCAGTCAGCGGTGAGGACGCGTGCTGCGTGGATATACGGTGCAGGCAATGGGCGTTGTGACGTCGAATGTCTGGCGTTGCGTGGTGAGAGTGGCGAGACCCGCCATAGCCGCCTTCTCAACTTCGCCTCCATGTGCAGTGGTCAATATGTGTGGTTTTTAATTGCGGCTGTGTCGTAGCACATCCTCGCATTCCCTGTGAATTTCTTAATATTGTCCATATGGGCTATGGGTCAGAATGTTTTTGTATGATTTTTGATCAATATTTATTCGCGATCTTAAAGACCCTCGCTTAACTATATTTTCGGCTAGGTTAGAAAAGTTTTCACCCAAAGCATTTTGTCCGATGAATGACTTACCACGAAATGTCAAAATTGACTTTCAAGGTTAGCCCGAGCCCCCTATTCGATAGCCACAAAATGTCGTATCGATCGGTGCTGTTACGCAACTTTCGTGCCTCGCTTGCGCCCCACATGCTGTGACTTAACCACGCAACCCAATGCAACATGAAAACGTAATTGTAATGCAACAAAAGACGAAAGGCATGCCGTCAGGACGCTCTTGTGAACTCGTTTTTGTGATTTTGCAAATTATGTCTACGTTACTTCTCAACACAGTGAAACCAGCGATGTCACTGAGAATGACCTCCGATCAATGTGTATATGCCAGCACGTGTAGCATTCTCAAGGAGCGCGCAGTTTTCGCGTGCACTGAATCAGCTGTCTGAAACAGGTGTGCCTCGTGCTCCTGGCGAACTTGGAATACTTATAAAGCTGTGTTCCGGCTATAGCACGTAAGCTTCCGTACAATATTAAAGCATCAGAACGCAGCCGTGGGGGAATTCAGCCACAATCCTCTCGCCGTAAACCGGTCTGCAGGCGCTGATCGTGCACATATTGTTTTTTGGCTCCTCACTTTCGCCAGGATTGCAATAAGCACTGAACATAGACGCTAATTTGCACCTACATTTGCAAAGATGATCGCAAAAATATAGGTTTATTGCTGGCGTTTTCTACCTAATACTGATGCCTGCACTGGTGCCTCACGGGCGCAAACGTGGCGAACAGGCAGATTGTGGCCACAGGGGTCGGCAAAGCGGCTGCGCCGATGTTGGGAACATTATAAATTAGCCCCAAATAAAGTTTCTTTCTGCGTGGTAAATGTGCATCACGCACTCTTTCCATTCATACGCCGGCCGTTGGGAGCTCCATTTGGCGCCGTATCCCAGGGGCGCGCGGTACTAACGTGTCGTGACCAGCCCAACGGCCGCTGTGCGCAGGCCGCCGAGCCGGCG